TTCCCACGACACAGAACATGAACTACGCGCACGATCCCAGGTCCAGATACGCAGCCAACGGCCCCGTTGCATCGTACAATGACTCCATGGGTGCCGGGAAGAGTGGCTCGAGGGATGATTCGTCTATCCCCCAACCCCGAACCATTCAGCCTACCCCGCGGCCTCAATCGGCATACCTGACAAGCGCGCCCATGCAAATGACGTTTGCTCAAGCCGCCGCAATGCGGCCAGCCCCTGATAGATACAGGCGCCCAAGTATCCAGCAACAGCAGGTCCGACAGCACAGCGCCGGTCCCTCGGGCTCTGGCATGGCCGCCGTCGGTCACCACTACAGCCCTCATGGCACAACCGATAGGACGAACGCTCCCGTCGTCGGCTCCCGTCGCCCTGCCGCCAACAATCGACCCAGTAGTTATTACAACCCTGCTGACGATCTGCAATTGAATCGCCAGGCCGCTGAGGATGCCAAGCGTCCCAGGCGACGCAGCGTCCACACACTCGATTCTGCCGACCAGCCTAAGTCTTCAGCCCCACAAGAGGTAGCGCCAACCCAAGAGCGCATCCCAACGCCCAAGAATGGCAAAAATGGGGAACAGAAATCCCTCCGCCTTGTGCCTGGTGAAGCCAGCACCCACATTCGCAATGGAAGCTCTGAAAGCCTCGCTTCCAGCCGGAGCAGTCACTCTCGACCAACATCAGTAAGTACAGATATGCCCAGTTTCCCATGTTGCCTCCCTCGGCCGATTGCCCAATCACGTAATCCACTCGGCTGCAGGTAACCCTGCAATCAGCCTGCTAACAAGGATGTTTCCTCCAGTCCGCCAACCGCAACGTACCAGCCCCCACTGGCAACCCCTCCTCCTTGTCCATCACTTCGAATCCTGATGAAGGGTCAATGAAGCAAGACCAACCGAAACTTGTCAACATCCCTCCCCGAAACTCATCGTCAGATGCTTCCAAACGTACCCTCAACCCGTCCCCCCTCTCCAGACCGGTGACCATGGGCGACACGGCTGCGCAGAACACGGCTTCCTCTTCAGGCGAAACTCCACAGCAATCGGCGACCAACATGAGCAGCCCAGCTGCCCAGCACCTGGCGGCTATTAATCAGAAGGGTGCCAGGTCGAAGAGCAAGACGTCGAGGCTGCGACGAGCCTTCTCTTTTGGCAGTGCCGCTGATTTCAAGAAGGCTGCCGAGCCCAGCGGCGAAGTGACCGCTGATGCTGCCGCCGCCACAGACAAGACCGAGCCGTCCCGTCTGCACAAGGAGCCTAATGCGGACGAGATCTACGACGCGGAGCAAGCTGCGATCGCGAAGAAGCAGGAGGAGGGCGGTCTCGGAAACAGTATCTATGGTGGAAGATTCTTTACCGGTTCTACGGACAATCTGTCCGTCTCCTCGACGGCGTCGTCGGCTTCCATCATGATTCGGAAGATGGGCCGCGGGATGAAGAAGAGCACTCGCTCGTTGGTCGGACTATTTAGGCCCAAGTCCGTCGTTGGAGTGCCTGCTGCGGACGGACCCTTGATGCCCGAGGCAGCCAGGCGGCCGTGTCAATGATCACTGTTGAGGCTGAGCGAGTCAATGTCAACCCTGATCCCAAGGCCCAGAACGGCGGCGGCACTGGCTTCCCGCACCTGGAGCGTAACTCGATGGATCTCTCCAACGCACCCAGCATGGTCTCTGAACGAGAGCGGCTGGGAAGTTCCGGCACAGACAACTCTGGCAATCGCAAGAGCATTGTTGGGAGGAGATCGTGAACGCGCCGAGGTCTTGGCTGCCGTCCGCAAGGGCATTCTCAAACATAATGCTGGCGCTGCTAGCCCAGCACGCGAGAAAGGGGCGCCTTTCGAGCTTCCTGCCATCCCGACCGTATCAGATTCGCCATATCGAGCGCCCCCAGCACGCCCAATGATGAACGCTGGGCACAAGCGCACAGGGTCGTTGCCATTGGCAGGCGAGGATTATTTTGTCTCGGCACTGAGGCTTCGTCAGGATACAAAGAGTGCACCGACGACTCCTCCAGGGGTCTGCTAGCGAAATGCCACTTTTTCGCCCAGACTCATCTTCCACGACACGTGGCCGAGCGGCGAGTACGATCGCCGGGGCGACATTGCCACTTGCAACCGCCTCACGCCTATGCTGGCGCAGCAAATCAAGGAAGAGCTCAACTCGTTCAAAATGGTGAGTTGACTGCAAGACCCATGCTGGCTTGGCAGACGGAGTACTAATACGACGCAGGAAATGGAGGTCCACGAGAACTCGAAGATTTATACGCACTTCTTCTAACGACGGCTACGCCTCTTGAACAGCACGATGAAGAAATCTTGTCAGCATTCTGCTTCTTGATGAGGGGCTCTGAACCTGATTCATGTATCCGCACTCATTTCATTCCGTCAAAGCGTCGGGGCAAGCATAGTACGTGTCAGGGCGTTTTCCTATCAAATTCATTTTCCTCTTTCCGAGATTCGTTCTTCTTGCTCGACTAGCCGTATGGTCTCCTTCCAGGGGAGTTCTGGATCAAAGATGTCGTTTGGCCAGTAATGTCAGAAGAGCGGCTGACGGTATCAAACATGTGGCGCCGGCTAGAGCACGCAAGACGAGGGCCAGAAGACGGCCTGTCTGAAGCTGAACAGACTCACAAGACGAGAGTCCGTGGCGGTCAGCACAGCATTCATACATTGTCTTAGGTTGACTCGGGCAAGCAAGGCCTTGATGCAGCGCCTACCTGAAAAGGTTGGCTGAGGCCCGGCCCGAGGCTCCCTCGCGCGGGTTTTCGCGATGGGTCATCGAAAAAAGACGGCAGGCTAGACATGGCAACAGGAGCTGGCAGGGGAGGATCAGGTTGGGTCTCGAGTCTTACTTTCACTTATTTCGCGTTTGAGACCCATCGAGTGCAATGGAAGAAAAAAAAGAAGAAAACAAAAGAGCGCGTGGTTCTCTCATCAGCAAAGCTGTATTCATTTCCTTCATCGAAACTTGCCATGATGCGGTGAAGTGATGTGGTAGCACGGTGAACCTGCCAACGTACAGCACAGGCAGGCAGTACGGAGTGAGTACGATGCCTGAAGGCACCTAGCCAGGTAGGCAAGCCGAGCGAGCGATAGGTGGTGTGCGAGTGAGACGGATGTGCTGCTGGACGATTGCATGATGCGGATGTGGACGAACCATGTCGTCAAGTCGGCCGGGTTGGCGATGGGATGGTTGGCTGACGGTGTACAGCCGATGAGCGCGTTCCCGTGTTCCAAGCAAAGGAGATGGTGGTGGGGAGGCATCGGATCTCGAGGCCTCTCTGGTGTGGTCTGCTGCCATGCCGTTGGTACTAGCGCAAGACAGCGATGCATGCGTGCCGGTCCACGGTCTCTGGATACGAAGAGAACTGTGGCTTTTTACGTAGGTCAGGTACCTAAGGGTAAAATGGATCAGATCTGACACCGTAGAACAGCATGCGCTTTCGCTGCCCTGGAGGTACCAGTACATGGCTCTCTTTGTGTGTGTTTTGTGCACGATGTGCTGCAGCACAAGGCTGCTTTAGGGTGGATAACCCCCAATGAACCCCCACATGCCGATCACCCCTCGCTGCTGCGCGGCTACTGGCGGCAAGCGCCCGATTCCTCAGCCTCGTCTCCCCGCAATCGGGACCGGGGGTTCATGATTGACGCAGGGCAGCCTGTGTGAAGGTGTTGTCCTTTTTTTTTTCCCCTTCTGCTATGCGAAACAGTTGAACTTTGCCTTGGCGTGAAGCAGCTGGCCGTCACGACATCTCGGTCCTACACCATTTCTCAAGGCGGACTTGATTCTCTTAACCCGAAGCCGACGTTTCGACTGTCCACCAGCATATCGAAAATTCTTCACCGTGGCGAGACTCTGGTGGCTGTCGAGCCCTTCGAGCGCGCGGCTGGTCCGATCTTTTGCTTCCCTGTCTGCGCCCAAAACTCCCATGGCGACTGATGCGAATGGCGTACCGGCGGCAGTTGCGGCGACCGCCGCGCACCCCAACACGGTAGAGCCGGGTCCGGGTAAGGCAGTCCTGCGCGGGCGGGCTTTTTACGAGAGCATCGGCAGCCCGAAATATGTGGTCGCGCCCATGGTGGCCCAGTCCGAGTTTGTACGTCTCCTGCCATCTCAGCCAACGTCTTGCTTCTGCTGACTTGTTGGCCACAGGCCTGGCGCATGTTGACTCGATCTTTCCTGCCTCCCTCTGAGCAATCGAGTATCTTGGCCTACACTCCCATGTTCCACGCACGCCTCTTTAAAGAGACGGAATCCTATCGAGAACAGAACTTTCAGCCTGTCAGACCCGATGCCTCTGCGGCTTCCGAAGCGACAACGCCCTGGCTCGACGGCAACCCGACGATCGACCGTCCCCTCTTCGTCCAGTTCTGCGCCAACGATCCCGAAGCCCTCCTCGGTGCCGCCCAGCGCGCCGCTCCCTACTGCGACGCCGTCGACATCAACTTTGGCTGCCCCCCAGGGCATCGCGCGCAAGGGCCACTACGGCGCGTTCCTCCAGGAGGACCAAGACCTCGTCTTCCGCCTCGTCAACACGCTGCACCGCAACCTGAGCATCCCCGTCACGGCCAAGATCCGCATCCTCGACACGCGCGAGGCGACGCTTGCCTACGCCCTCAACGTCCTCCGCGCCGGCGCCTCCATCCTGACGGTGCACGGCCGCCGCCGCGAGCAAAAGGGCCACCTGACGGGCCTCGCCGACTGGAGCACGATCCGCTGGCTGCGCGACCAGCTGCCGCCCGAGACGGTGCTCTTCGCCAACGGCAACATTCTCGAGCACGGCGACCTCGCCAAGTGCCTCGAGGCCACGGGCGCCGACGCCGTCATGAGCGCCGAGGGCAACCTCAGCGACCCGGGCCTGTTCGCGGCGCCGCCGGCGGACGGCGACGACGCCGGCCGTGCGTACTGGCGCGGCCGCGACGGCAAGGGCGGCTGGCGCGTCGACGAGGTCATGCGGCGCTACCTCGACATCCTGCACACGCACGTCGCCGGCGCGCGCCGCCACAGAGGCGGCCGCTGTTCCTGCCGGGCGACGATGCGGCATGGCTCGAACAGCCGGAGGACGAAGACGCCGAGCAGCCGGCGCGGAAAAAGGTCAAGCGCGACGGCGGCGGCGGCGGCGGCGGCAAGAAGAAGGACAAGGTGACGAGCCCCAACTATGGGGGTATGCAGCCGCACATGTTCCACTTGCTGCGGCACTTTGTGTCGCGCCACACGGACGTCAGGGACATGCTCGCCAAGGCCCGGTCGGGGGACCTCGAGGCGTACGAGGCCATCCTGGCGGCTGTCGAGAGGAAGGTTGCCGAGGGTCTGCTGGAATACGAGCGGACCGACGGCAAGATGTTTGCCGAAGCCGACACAGTGTACCGACGGCTGCTGCTGCTGCTGCTGCTACGACTAGAATCC